ACAATATACAATTTAAATATTTGGCAATAGTTTTCGGTTACCTCCAAAGCTGATAAGAATTATTTTAGGTGAAATACACAAGTTTTATTTGTTTAAATCCCTGGGCCATACCACAAAAAAATTAGAACGAGCGTTGAACGCGTGTCTAGCGTTTTTTATGAGGGCTTAATTTAAACACTCGTTCAACAATTGTAAAACTTTTTTGTTGTAAGGCCCTAAATCTTTAAGGAATCATAAGGGTTATGTAATGATTTTAATTTCAATTTCACTTTTATTGCATAAATCAAAATACATGGATGTTGTTAATATAACGTCATACAATGTGTAGAGCACTATACGGGGTGTTAGGGACGGTGTAACGAAAACTTTGCAGGCGTGCTCAGACCATGAAATTGAACAACTTTTATTATGGAGCCAATGGTGGGAAACGAAAAAAAAATTCCGACCTCCCATACAAAGTCAGTCATCTGATCGTGAATTTTGTATGGGAGGTCGGAAAAATTTTTTCGTTTCCCACCATTGGCTCCATAGTAAAAGTTGTTCAGTTTGATGGTCTGATCATGCCTGCAAAGTTTTCGGTACACCGTCCCTAACACCCTGTATACCCGTATAGGGTGTAACGGAATGGGTATTACAAGCCAAAAGGGGCAGAACGTACTGGTGATAATAAACCTTTAGCGAGGACTGTAATCGCCAATTCAATCATTTTTAAAAGTAACAACATCAAAAAAAAGGGTAACAGTTCCCGATACGAGTTACTTGCCCATCACTAAAGTGGGTCCTCCCAAACCTCATCTTCAAAGAGTGCTTTCAAGTCATACCACCTCCTAACAGATATGCTTCCTCGGCGATGCATTACATTGAAGTTTATCAAAAGCATTGGCAACAAACGCAACACTAAAAAGTAGCAATGTACACAGTCTTTCCACTCTGTGTTTATGTTTTCCTGGTATTCTTCCACTATGAAATGGCAATGAATGACGTCAACAACGATTTTTTTGTTTTTTAAGTACTTTTTACCATTTTACAAGCTCTTCTTTGCTATGTATTCTTGGTAACAATCTAAGGTAAAATAGCATAGCATACATTTTCAATGGATTCAACCAAAGATTCAACAACAGATCTACGAGTATGTTTGACGTTACACAACATGACAAACGTTGTCAAACAGCTATCTTCTTCTTATCAAACCAAAAAACATCCATGTCTGTTTTGATTATGTCATATCAGAGTCTACGTAGATTGGTAGTCAAACTAAAAAGATCCAAGATCTTTTTGACCTAATGTTGAATGCTTCTCTGGGATTTATGCTTTCCTATTCCATATTCCATCTTTTCTTTGGGTGGTTTTTTTTCTACGATGTTAGTCGGCAACAAAGTTGGCAACAAACCGTGAAAATGTACTAGGATTCCATATTCTTAAAAAGTTCAGCCTAAGTTCCTTTTCAGCAAAAAGTATGGATGATGTATGCCAATTTCAGCAAAGAGATGACAGAGAATAAAAATAAACAATACCCATTGATACGTAATTGTCATTGACACGTTTGACGTTTTTGTAAAATTTATCAAAGAGGATATAAATAAAAATTTATGAAAATTAATAACAAAACGAGAAATTGAATTTAATTAATTTATTTCGCTAAAGACTACAATTATTTTATCTAAAATGTCCATTAAAAAACTAATACGGTATTTGGTAGTCAAAATAACATGCAATAACATTTGACTTGGACAAATAGTGAACAATAAGTAGGTACCTAGGTCAAGAACAAATTCAGCTGCTTTTTCCGGACCAAGACGGGGCACGCAAAAATTTAAGAGATCACCATTGATTTGTCCAGAAGAATAAGCTGCTTTGTCTTGTGGTTTTTTCCACACAAGAAGAAAATGAAGACTTCAAAAAACACAAAGAAGTATGCCGAAACTATTCTGAAGGTCTGACTGTGCATTTTTGAAAATCCCTGGACAGTGTAGTGCAGTGACATCGAAGGCATCTAAAGGAGGCAGCTCTGTGAACTTAAATTTTGAATAAAATATTAAGGTTCATAGCTTATTTCATTTACTTAAACTTTGTAGGAATAACCGAGCTTTCTTGTGTAGTTAAGGTGCAGGTTCGTTCATCGCGACTGATCACGGTCGACACAAACACGCGCTTTTGATGCGACGATAAGTCGTAATCTCTGGTTTCATACTTCCTGTGCACGTTAGACGTATGTCATCGGCGGCAATGAACTGTGGCAATGAACAAACTTTCACCCTGAAGTTTTTTGTTTGTTCATCCCGCACTGTCACATAGCCTTGCACACGGCGCATGTTGTCGACCACTTGCGGTGATAGGCTGCAATGAACGAATCTGTACCTTAAGTACGACAAACACGTCCGCGACTTTCAATGCGCGGCATTGGAGATTTATTTTTTGACAGTTTGTGTTGAGAACTACCAGGTTAGCATAAAATGAAGAAAACTTGTAGACATTTTGTTTGATGGTTTTGAGGACGACATCGTGAGGGCCTCGGAGCTTTGTTTATTGACAGCTTGTGTTGAGACCTACCAGGTTAGCATAAAATGAAAAAGCTCATCTGAACATTTTGTTTGAGGGCTTTGAGGACATCGTGAGGGCCTCAATTTCGTTAGTGTTGGGAACGATGAAATTTGTACTACCTTAACATACTAGGTTACAAAGTACGTTTTGCCACTTTCGGCTTGTAAGGGTCTTTCCGTTACACGCTATATTTATTACTATTCATAAAGATTTCAAATAGCAGTAGAGCAAATAGTGACCCTTGGGGCAGGCCAGACGGAATATGTCCTCAACTAGCATTTAATATAATAAAATTCTACCAAAAGGCCAATCAATATCATAATAAAAACAAATAATAATGGAATAAAACGTTGCAAATATCAAAACTGTATCATTTGCGCAATAAAATATCATCATCAATATGGTCTAACGACTCACTTAGGATTATGTCACATACCTCGTCATCATCACTCTCGATGTCATCAGGTTCAGAATCCAAAGCAGCATCAGCTTCAGAAACCGGCTTCTTTTTGGAGATCAGCTTAGAATAGTCCACGTCTTTGCGGTATGGAAACGCAGCTTTTAGCTTGCGTACTAGGTAGCGGACCTGAAAATTAAATCTTGTATAAGTGTGATATTTACCGTGTGATGCTGGCTTAAAATAGCATCACCCTAATTCTACGTCTACCTTACAGGTAAGTGGCATAAAAAGCGACTAAGGAATATACTGGGTGAAATTTTACTAGTGACTGGTAGCGAAAACTTAGAACCGGCTGGTGATAAGGAACAATTTTTCCCAAGGAAGGAATTGGTCAAAATATGAAAAAAAAATTGGGCCTCCCATACTAACTCAAATCAGCTGATCGGCAATTTTGATTTTTTTTTTCTTATTTCTACCTATGTTCCTTGCGGAAAGTTGTTCCTTATCACCGGCCGGTTCGGAGTTTTCGTTACCAGTCACTAGTAAAATTTCACCCAGTATATAAACTATGATTGATCTCTCGCTCTTTTCGTGTGGGACACCGGGTCGATTAACGACCCTATTGATATTGATTGCCTTACCTCCTGCTGCCCCGTGACGAATATCAGTATCCCTCCTTCAGGCAGCCTTGTGTGTATTTTGACCGCTTTCTTATAAGCCTCCTTCAGGTAGTCGCTATAAGTGTGCTTGTTGAAGTGAATCTACGATTGATATTGATTGCCTTACCTCCTGTTGTCCCGTGACGAATATCAGCATCCCTCCTTCAGGCAGTCTCGTGTGAATTTTAACCGCTTTCTTATAGGCCTCCTTCAGGTAGTCGCTATAAGTGTGCTTGTTGAAGTGGATTGTCACTGGGAACTGACGGGCATCGATCTGGAAAAGATAGTACATATTTTGATCAGTTAGGCAACGTAAAAGACAGGTACGAGTACATATCGATGATACATAAAGATACAGGCTGAATCGACCAAAAGCGTGAAAAATCTATCCCACCCAAAACATAAATGTGAAAGGCTGCCAAGTTCGATAATATTGGAATGCTTCGCCTATAAAAGAAGTGAGATCTAAATAAGTACCAAGTTCCATACACAGACCTCAGTTAAAAATAGTTACAGGAATGCACACTTGATTTTCCGCAGTTTGGAAAGTAGATTCTTATTTCCAAACTTATTTGAGTGTATAGTAAAAATAGCGATTTTCTGACGTCAATATCTCAAGACCTACAATAGGTACATTAATGAAATTTTGTATTTTAGATAAGTAAGTAGATCTCGACAGATACTAGAAATTTCATATGCGTAGATAAAATAGATTTTGAGTTTTAGGTGGGTCAAACTTGGCCCGAAATGGTTCGTGTAATATAACCCACGGCCGGTGTGTCGGGCTCGAACTTGGCGGACACACTGCCGTGTGTCTAGATACTTAGGCGGACATGTTATTTATAACCGTGCGTGATTCCACCGACCGGTCCCGGTTGCTGCATTTAATTTAACTACTTGTATGACAGTCTATCTTTTCACAACCACGGTAGAGGTGTAGTAGTTACATATTAGACTGCTCAAAACTGCACTATACAAGGTAAGGAAAGTGAAATACAATCTTTTCCACAACCCAATTCTTAAGAAACATAGTTTAAAAGTATGTAGTATGTACATGTCATCGACAAAAGAACAATTTATGAAGAGGGTTTTGAAATGACGTAGCCCAATCCATCCTAATCCTGTAACATACCTTAATAATAGGCGGAGGTTCTTTGAAAAGTCTGGTGTTTTCCGTGAAATCTTCTACCCTCAATGTGGCAGACATGATTATCAGTCGCAGTGGACTTCCACGTTTCCTACGCAGGGGAACTATACGAGATAGTAGACCTGGAATTAGAATAAATAGTTGGAGTTTGTTTTGCAGAAAGCGTAATTAAAAAATTGATTTTTGCTGCCATGTAACATAAGTTTTATCATAATCATAAGTCATCAAGATAAGTCATAAATTATTTCATGGCATTTTCATGTGGTAGACCGAGACTGCCTGCGAAGCAGAAGGTTCCGGGTTCAATTCCCGGTGGGGTTACTCAGAAAGTTAATATTTATCACTTTGTGAATTTGTTCCCAGTCTTGTTAGGACATTGTAGGCTGGTCCACCTGATTGTCCAAAAAGCAAGATGGTTCCGTGTTTCGGAGGGCATGTTAAGCCGTCGGTCTCGGTTTCTGTCTATGATTACTTAGACGGCGGTCGTTACACAAACATGTCAGAGACCTGCTACTAGAAGCAGGCGGTTGGAAAACTCTGACACCAGGGTTCATCGGGTGGTTGGGCGAGTTGGTGTCCCACTCAAAGAAGAAGATTTCTACCATTTTCTTATTTGATTGAACTAAAAGTAACAAAGTTATATTTCTTTATTAGTGATCTTTCTTACCTAGCAGTATATCAGTGTAGACGGAACGTTCGTGAGCTTCGTCTATGATCACGACGGAGTATTTGGAAAGGAGGAAGTCTGATTGGATCTCCTTGAGCAACACACCTGGAGAAGACAGAAAGTTTAACAAATACTTTTATTGTAAAAAATACATACAAACATATATCACGCCTATATCCCATGCGGGGTAAGCAGAGCGTAAACTTTTAAAAAACGGCCATTTACACCACGTCTAACAAAAGTTGGACAGACATTCAGAAGACTGTATCACCATATGACAAATTGTTAGCCTGTCGCCTAAAATTACAATACACATCAAGTCTCAAATCCCTTATTCACTCCAAGGGAAAGATATGTGGTGTTGCTATTCTATGCCAGCACCACACGGCGAAAGTCAATGACAAAGTGTTTAAAAGGGTAAACAAATTCGAATGACTTACCATCAGTCATAAACTTGATCTTGGTGTCTTTAGTGACGTTTCCCTCGAAGCGCATCAAATATGAGACCTCCTTATTAGTAAGCCCTAGTTCATAGCTGAAATTAGAAATCAATACATAGTCTACACAAATATTATACAGAGAAAATAATTGTTTGTTTGTATGTAACCGATAAACTCCGAAACTACTAGACCAATTTCAAAAATTCTTTCTTCATTAAAAAGCTACAACATCCCTGAGTAACATTGGTAACATGTGCTACTGTTTACCATGGGAAATTTTTGGCACAGGAAAACGGGTGAAACCGATCAACTGGCCTCTAGGATTTAATATTTCCATATGGCAGGCTGAAATCGTTGCAATTTTTATACTTAAGAGGATCGTGAGTCTGGATATTTTCATACAAACGATGTTACCGTATCCCTCAGCCAATTCGCAACCGATCAATACAATTTTTGGTACGATAACTCTTCTTGACTAGATCTATGCCTAATATTCATTTTCTGGTTGGAATAATGCATTTAAAAAAAAGATATGACCGTCGCAAAATGTCTCAAAATAATCAGCAAGTTTAGGCCCTGGTATCTTCTTAATATGACAATAATTTCAGCAAAACAGATGATACGGGCATAGAATATTTTATTGGCAGCAAAATGATGCTACTATCAACAAATTTGGTGGAGATTTCGAACGGGGAACCTAGTAAACCCAGAACGCAAATTTTATACACGTTTCCGGTACCGAGCTACAACTGTCTCTTTCATGGCTGCGGGGTGAGGGCAGGAAGGGGGTGGCGATACAGATTGACCCTCTGGCCCTCATAAAGTATACAAGGTCTCAATAATACCGGGTCTTTTATTTTTTACTTTGTTTTGATATGTTTTAAATTCAATAATTCATGTCTACGTAGATATTTTCTACTTCTTGAACACTAGTCAAACTTTAATGTGTAGTTTATTTTTGTACAATTTACATATGTAAATTAACATAGGCACCAAACCACCAGAAGATAGGCTAAATAATGGATCATAAAATAACTCGTAGTACTAATTGAGTAGCTTTACTTCAGTTACCTAATTATTTATTTGGACTTGAATGAAGGTAGGTACGTACATATTATGTAAGTACTACAACGACCAATACAATACAATGTATTTGCAATATAAATCACAATTTAGCGGTAAAAATTTTAATTGCACCATAGTAAAGAGCAATTATATATCAGAAATATTACTGCATGGATAAAGAAAATAAACCAATGATTACCACAGAGGCGGTTTTATTGCTAAATGTAGTTATTACTAGTTATTTTTACCAGGTATAGTTAATTTACAAGGTACTGCCTATGTGGCGCTTTGCAATAAATTATATATAGTATAGCAGATATTGGTATGACATAAGATGCGATTTGATTTAAACCAGCTATTTCGACCGATTATGGTATGACAAAATAGCTCACATGGTCAGATGTGAGACTTTGAAACAAAGAGAGTGGAGTTCAATTCCTGCTAATGCTAAAACATATCGATTTTGTTTTCTTTCAAAGTTTTGTATATTTTTTTTGCATCTTTTATAATCCTTATAAAATGTGTCATGCATGATCATTAATGCACAAAATGTTTTATCATTATCTATTTGTAACAAAATAGGCGGAGTAAGGGAGAAATTTCAGATTTGTTTCAACAAGGAGTTTGGCCTTATCACACTACCAGTTTGAGAGCGGATGCGGAGCGGAGCAGACGCGCAGCAAATTCTTTGTGAATGCGTGGCAGATGTGCAGCGAATTCGCACCACCGACGCGCGACGTAGCTGCGTAGGCGCGGCGGATGCGCAGTAAATTTCTCGCGGACGTGCGGCGGATTGTATCAAAACAATGCAAATCCATTCGCTACGCATCCGCCGCACGTATGCTACGAATTTGGTGCGCATACGCTCCGCTCAGCATCCGCTCCGAAAACGCTAGTGTTATAGGCTCTTATGTCTTGGAAAGTGTCTTAGATGGGTGGGTATTTTGTTTTGTTTCCTCGATCAAAAAATGACGGGAAATGTCAGATAGAAAAAACTATTTGATCCATTTTTTGATTTTTTCACAAGTTGGCAAAAGTATGGATAGGACTTTTTATTTGGGAAACCTATAAAAAAAACAGACATTTATATATATTTGATGGGTTGAGTTCAGTTCATAAAACTGAGCAACTTTCCCCAAGAGACTCAGACCAAGAAAAGTAAAATGAAATACTTTGGACCTCTCATGCTTACAATGGCATGTAATTAAATTAGTCGTAAGTATATGTATGCGTTCCCCTTTTTTTCAGGGTTATGTTTTTCGAGAGAATGTATGTATGTTTGTATGTATGTATGTGAACAAGAAAATTCTTTTTTACGCGCTACATACAGCCTAATCGGATAGTTGGATTTTGACATATGAGTTGTCGTTAGATTCGTCTTAGCAGCGCGAGTGACACTGGCTATATTAAAAAAATATAGATTTAAGATGGCGGATTTTATACAGCAAAATACTACTTTAAAATTACCCCAGTCGGGTTTTTGCTGTTTAACACATCTACATTAGACATTCATACCAAAATAAACATATGTCTCAGATAATGTGATCCGTACAAAACGTAAAGTTGCAAAGCGTCTTGATTTTTCTGATCGGAAGTGTAGTTTTCGTTTAGTTTTGATTCGCTGGCAACATTGTCTGTCTGTCTGGACGCGTCTGAGTGGATCCAAATTTTATTTATTTATCCGCCTATGTTTCTTAGGGAAAGTTGTTTATTTTCGTGGTCAGTCCACACCTTAAAATATTTGTAGTTCATTTTTAGACACCTTATTTACATCCTGAAAAAAATGCGGTAATTATAATCCAAAAATAAAGTCTTATCCATACTTTTCCAATAGCTGCACTTAGTCTAGTAGATTTTTAGGGTGCCGTAACCAAAGGGTGGAAACGGATCCCTGATACTGAGACTTCGCTGTCTGTCCGTCTGTCAGCAGGCACTATCTAATAAATGGTTATAGGTAGAGAGTCGCAAATTTCACAGACGATGAATTTATGTTGCCGCTATATATAACAACAAATACTGAACATTTGATACAAATAAAAATACAGCCAGCCATACAAAAAACGTCATTTTATGCTCGATTTTATCTATGATGTAATCAAATTCAAAATTCAAATGCTGTATCTCATGAACAGTAACAGTTAGACAGTTGAAATTCTCACAACCATGTATTACTAATATTACTATTGCCCTATGACAACAAAAACTAAAAAATAGAGGAGCTCCCATACAACAAAATGTGATATATATAAATGCTATTTTTAAACACAATGGTACGGGACCCTTCGTTTACGAGTCCGATTCGCACTTGTCCGATTTTTGAGAATCTGAAAAGTCTTCCGTCAGAGTGATTAGTTTAGATAATAATTGTACCCATTAGGATTTCTAATATTGCAAATATAATCAAGAAATATCTTACACTCTGCCTACCCTGCAAGGGATGTAGGCGTGATGTGTGCAAAGAAAAACTGATTTTTTTTGTATAAAACGACCCGTCGTCGTCGTGACTCGAAACCTGTACTCTCAATAAACCGTTGATCCCAGGGGGAGCGGCTTACATTTTACGCCACGCAGTTACTTGCACTTAGTGGTCAATTTTGTGAATGGTTGCAAAACGTAAATGTCATTGATCATATACAATGAGGGCAAGGGGGTAGCGGGAGGGTCCACAGCGGGGCGGGAGGGATGCATAAATGAAATAGAAATATTTTTATCAACTGACAGTTCGCGAACTTTCAGGTTGCTATTGTAAAGTCTTAAAAGGTAAATAAAAGACAGTACGTACCCAACGCGTGCAGCCATAGCAACAGTAGCTACTCTTCTTGGTTCAGTCACGGCAATCATTTTGTTCTGTGTGTATCCCGCTTCATACAGAAATTGGGGTAGCTGTGTTGTTTTACCACTGCCTGTATGCAAAAGGTAAGTAAACGATCTTTTAACAGAGGCTGTGACAAATCGATTTACAATGCATTATATGAATACTCTGTGTTAAGTGGGCGAATATGTCATTCAATACAAGAACAACATTACAAAAATCAGATTTGACATATAAATCTTTTTCAAAGTGCATCCTTTAGATGCCAAGTCTAGTTGATCAAGTGATAGCCAGTAGTTTGAATTAGTAAGTTAATTTCAGTGCTATTTATGGTATT